TCCCTTCTGGTCCGTAGGTCGATTCTCCGGCTGCAAGTTGAAGTGAAACTTTGCGGCCAGAGAAGTCCGTAGGTCGAAAAGTTTGTAAGTGGAGCCGAACGTAAGTCGAGACTCCATTGTACAACACTGTGACTTCCTCATTCAAACAGCAGAAAACAAATGGAGATGCTTTATTTGCTAAACTTCTGCTGCTTAAGCTTGCTCATATCAACTATTCCATTACAGATTCTATTTGTGTTTTCATCCTGGCTACTTTCCCAATACATAGAGAACGGAAAAGAATCCATAAATTCAGGAGAGAAAAAGAAAGCATATGTTGAGATACACTGCATGTTTCAAATTTTTCAAAACAGCACTGGGGGTTGTTTTTGATAGGAAAGTTGTTTAAGTGGAATTGCGAATTAAACCCAGCAAAATCATTTAAATACGAAAAGATTTACGGACAGAGTTAATATTCAAGGAAGAAGTGGCATTCTGGAAATACTAGATCAGGGCACATTTTCTGTTAGCAAGTCTAGATATAAACATGGCAAGATTTTCTGCAGGTCAAGTGCCCTTTCCAGAAGAAAACGTATATCATTCTAAGATAATTACACAGTAGCTGGCTACTGGCCTATTATCTTTCTGTTTCTGCTTTGGGTCTTTTGCCAGCTTGTTTTTACAACTACCCACAGCCATCGTGTGCCAACTGTGTGAAGTCTCAGCTTCCTACATCGTACACAAATTTACAGGGCCTACAATAAGCAGGCGTTGAGCAGAAATGTAAATAAGCACAGCACGACCACCAAACCATTTTTAAAGTCACGTATTCAAGTTACCTCTTATGCCACCAAGCTGCAAATGAGTTCATATTAGATAAACAGTTTAAAATGCTGACTTTGAGACATCTGTAGGTCTGAGTATATCTATTAGATTCTTAGGATGAAAAGTTATATAAATCTATCAAGAAAACCAAGGAAGACTCACTGGGCTCCACAGTGGTATTTGATTTGGACACAAAACATTGGCCTGAATTTCCGCCAGAAGCACTGAATTTCCTATAGTCTGCAGGGGCGGGGAGAATAACAGCAATCTGAAGCCTGATCCTGTATGCTGGGGAGAGGACTTCCCATTCTATGGGTCTGCCTAGTCTACCTTGGCTGCTGGGTCTTCCCCATCAACAGCTTCTTCTGAGCTCCCACTTCCTGGAGAAAGAGGAGCCTCTCTTATATCCAGCCTCTGATTAGAAGTAACAGGGACTAAATCTCTTGCTCTTGCCAGTAATAGGGACGGGACTTTCATCTCTTTGGGAACGAAACTCCCAGAACTTGCCAAGAATCCCGCCCCCCAGGTGGAACTCCGGGAACTGCAACCCAAAAACAGAATCTCAAAGAGTTTTTTTTTCTTACTTCTGTGTGGGCCTCCATCACCATTCGGTTGGCTTTTCAAGAAAAAGAAAACTCCCCCCACAGGTGGTGCCTGGAAGTGGTATAAAGGTTGGGGGGGTGTCAAAGGAGCATGAGATGGTTAGTCTCACTGCCTGTTGGCTTTCTAGAAGGCACCTCACATGGACCTACATGTTCCAGGCTCCCTCGAGACTCCCTCAAAGACTTGGCCCACAGGGAGGCGAGAAAAAGTCCTCTATAAACTACTTTCTTCGGGCTGTGGCATCCGGGATTCTGCCTGGGGGAATTCTTGGCGAACTCTGGGAGTTACAGTCCAAAAGAGACAAATATCCCTTGCAAAGCTGGCACTTCTGGGAGACAGCAGAGTCCCCGTCTAGGACTCCTCAGGCTTCTGGAAGGCTCAGCTGAGGAGAATTTGCTTCCTCTCCTCAGTGCCACGTGCTGTCAAAGCAGGTGTGGGAGCCAAGGGGTGGCTGCTCCGACAGACCCTGGGAACATCAGCCAAGAGCGATTCACTCCCCTTTCTCTTTTTACCACACAAGGAAGGAAGAAGGGTGGTTAACTGCACCTCAGACCTAAGCACTAGCTGCAGTCATCCTTCTGCAACAGGTGCATGGCTTTACTTTGCTTCTTCAGCCCAGCATGCTTCTCAACATTGGAGCATCCTTATTCATAAACAAAGCTTAGTAGGAGGTATTTCTCATCACACACAGGACTGAAGTGCTAATCACTAGATTAGCTAGCTCAGTAACGCAATGATTAGACTGTAATCCTTTATATACGTAACACACTGCAGACTGTAGATAAAATTAAGAGGGGGGAAAACGGCTTTGCTTGTTATTTTCCTGTTCAGCATCCCACTTACCTACCTTGTCAATATGTGGGTGCCAATATTCATCGTGGGTTGTCTTGGCTTCGGAGTTGTTAATTCTGGAGAAAAAGGTTGGCTTTGTCAAATGCATGGAAGAGGAGCTGATACCGAACACAAGAGCTATTTTTTGTTGAATTCTCTGCCTCACATCCCTGGGGGAAAAAACAACACAGCTCCTTAACAGAGTGGAATACCATGCTATGAGAAGTCTAAATATGACATAACCCCTTTTATTATAAAACAGCACTTATATTGTGCCTTATAGACTGTTCCAAGTGCTTCGAGGGCACAAAGAAGCTATCCCGTCTGCAAGCAATTGGCTGATGCTAAAGAACAGCAGATGCTGAGCTGAGTGATGGCTGCTTACAGTGAGATGAGACTTGAATCAGAGTCATCCTGCTTCCATGTTCAATGTCTTAAACATTGCAGCAGAAGAGAGGAACCTGTGACTCTTGAACTCCAAGTCCCATCAGACTCAGCCAGCTTGGCCAAGAATAAGGGAAGATGGGAACTGTAGTCCCCTTTGCACACCAACCCCAGCTGACCACCTTCTCCCCCTTTTTTCTCCCTCCTCTTCTCCCCCCCCCTTTTCTCTATCCGCCCTGGTTTTACATAATTAGTCGGTACCATCTGTTTTTTTTTTAAGTTACCATTGCTGCTTTTATTGTTTCTATTTTTATTCTTGTTTTCTATTACATGTGTTGTAACTGGCCAGAGTAGTGCCTTGACACTAATGGGAGTGGGATACAAATTGAATAAATAAACAAATAAACATAAATAAATAGGCTAACAACTACTGGGAGGGCTACAGACTCCCCACCCCTGCAGAAGACTATAAAAACTATGCCTGAATCTCTAATGTTATAGGCTGAAAAAAGTGCACATTTTTGGATCAATAAGCATTTCAAATTAGCACCTCCTCTTTGTCTGATCAATCTACATCTCTCCTTACTTGATAATGAGATACCACATGTTTTTAAAAGGTGTATAACAGGCTTTGTAAGACCAGAGAATGTGAATTGAACTGGAAAAGAACCTGCCTTCACTCAAAATAGGCAAAAGGGCCCGGATAGCGGAGTCCTTTCCCTACAGGATCTCAGGAAACTCTCATATCTCTGTGGGATTAGAAAGCCACTGACCAAGCACACCTTTACTATGATGAAGACAGAGGCAAGGAAGGACCATCTAACTATTTAGAGAAGTCCATTTGGTTTTATAATCTTATGCATGTTTGGAGGAATGATCAGAATTCATGAACTAAGTTTTAGGAAGAAGCTAGTTAGTCAACTGCACTCCTGGAAGAACCACAGGCTTTAAAAATCAGGAGCACAGGAAAGCAGCAGCATTAGAACATACAAAACAGCCTCACATTAGCTGTAATTTCCTTACATACATTGAGGAATAAAAACACACCACTGGAAACAAAAATGTAGCCTTGGATCATTTTACTATGGTCTCCAATGTGGGGGGCTAGAGACAGGATTGGGAATCCTGGCTCTTTGAGACTTCAATGAGGAATCAGGATTTCATCTTCTTCTTTAGATCTCCTACAACTCGTACCCACTCACTAGCAATTCTAAGTTAAATTCCTGCCATTTCAGCACCAAGAAATGGGAGAGCCAAAATGATGCTAAGAAAGAGATGAAACTGAATCACACCTCATCTATGAATGTGCAAAGATTGCACAAATAGATTACAAAACCAGACATGATAAGAGTGGCAAAAGTAGTGCACTGGTCATTATGCAAAAACAAACAAACAAAGAAACAAAAGCACTCAACAAAAATATAACTTGCGAGCTTCCAAAAACCCATGGGAACGTCAGGTAGAGAAGGTGTCAGAAAATGAGGAAGTCAAGATCTTGTGGGATTTCTGGATTCAAACTGATAGATCCCTTGAACATAACACACCAGACATAGTAGTAATAGAATGAATAAATTGACATTGCAATTCCAGGGGATGCCAGAGCTGAAAGTAAAGAATTGGAAAAACTAACAAAATACAGAGACCTGGCCATTGAAACATCTTGCTTGTGGTTGAAACGCACTTCAGTGGTCCCTGTAGTCATTGGGGCTTTGGGAACAATATCAAGAACTTTCACACAGTACTATAAGCAGTTTCAGATCTTGGAAATCACACCATCAGAGCTACAAAAAATGGCAATATAAGGAACAGCATACATACTGCATTGATGTTTAACAGATACTGTACTTATGTTTTTGGTTAAAACCTGTATCTGTTATATAACACCACTCAATGTCGTATAATTTCGACCGTGCTTGGAGTTT